TTTAGAAGTCCTCTCGTGTCCCATTGGTTACTTAGATATGAGGATCTTAGCAAAGCCAGAAGTTGTGAGCGGGCGCATTTGATGTGGCCCGTATCCGACTCGAATATTAATTGAACAACGATCGAATGGTGAAGAAACGTTGATGTTAATTAGCGAGTGAGGGCGGGCGGGTAGGTGGCTCCGCACCGTCTATTGTTTCTCCCCGGCTCCTGCGCCCCGACACAATAGACCTCTGCCTTAATCTTTGAAACTAATTAATTAATGAAAAGGTGAATCAAATACTAAGGTAATAAGCTTCCGTAATTAACTGACTTTCGTAGATGGGAGCTTAAGGCGCCAATACGTGCTTTTCAGCGCGACTAGAAATTATTAACAGAGTGCATGGGAAGGAATATTAGACCCTAACGGAGGCGCTTGTTAAGGCTGCTCTTAATTACTGCGATGAGCCGTCAAGGGTACGAGGTAAGAATGGCTACAGCTCAATCACGCCGCTCCAGAATCACTGCCAACCTTCAATTTGGCCCTACCCAGAGGCTGTTAGCCCCGCCTTCCTTGTGCCAGCCCTGGTGAACACTCCCTGTGGGGGGGGGGGGGGGTTCTTGTGAACCCTGGCGGGGGGGGGGGGTTCTCGGGAACCCTCGCGGTGGTTTCCGGTGAACCCTTTCGTTGTGGGAAGACAGAAGAGCTCAGGGAGACATGATCATAAGATAAAAAATTCTCAGGGGAATTGACAGGGTAGACAAGGATGGATTATTTAACACAGGTGGTACACGCACGAGGGGACACAGGTGGAAGCCGAGAACCCAAGTGAGCCACAGAGATATTAGTCAGAGTAGTTAGCAAATGGAATCTACTAGAAAGTGATGTGGTGGAGGCCGACTCCATACACAGTTTCAAATGAAGATAGGATAGAGCTCGAGGAGCTCTGAAATCTGTACACCAGTAGATTGACGGTTGAGAGGCGGGACCAAAGTGCCAATGCTCAACATCCAGTAAGCACAACTAGGTGACTACACACAGTCTATCCCGGATACCTCCGGTTAGCGAGTCCTTATTCATACTCGCTTATCACAGTCACGGATAAAACTTCCCCCAAATAATGAGGTGTATGGGAAAAGTTATTTCGCACAGTTTGTCGGAGTCTAGAGATAATGAATGTAATTATCTCAGTTATGATGTTTGGCTTCTTTAGTGTACTCACCCAATTGTACTCTCCTAATTGTGCTTGCGGGGGTTGAGCTCTGGCTCTTTGGTCCTGCCTCTCAACTGTCAATCAACTAATGTACAGATTCCTGAGCCTACTGGGCTCTGTCATATCTACATTTGAAACTACATTTGAGGGAGCCGGTCGGCCGAGCGGACAGCACGCTGGACTTGTGATCCTGTGGTCCTGGGTTCGATCCCAGGCGCCGGCGAGAAACATTGGGCAGAGTTTCTTTCACCCTATGCCTCTGTTACCTAGCAGTAAAATAGGTACCTAGGTGTTAGTCAGCTGTCACGGGCTGCTTCCTGGGGGTGGAGGCCTGGTCGAGGACCGGGCCGCGGGGACACTAAAAATCCCCGAAATCATCTTAAGATAACCACCACATCACTTCCTTATGCATTCTATTTATTAACTACTCTGACACTGAAAAAGTTCTTTCTAATGTGTCTGTGGCTCATTTGGGTACTCAGCTTCTACCTGTGATCATGTCTCCCCTAGCTCGTCTGTCTTCCAACGACGTGAGGTGCAGTTCATGTAGTCTGTCCTCATAACTCGTGCCTCTTAGTTCTGGGACTAGCCTAGTGGCATACCTCTGAACTTTTTCCAGCTTTGTTTTGTGCTTGACTAGATACAGGCTCCATGCTGGGGCTGCATACTCCAGGATTGGCCTTACATATGTGGTATACAGGGTTCTGAAGGATTCCTTACACAAGTTTCTGAAAGCAGTTCTGATGTTAGCCAGCCTCGCATACGCCGCCGATGTTACTCTTTGGATGTGGGCTTCGGGAGACAGGTTTAGCGTGATATCAACTCCCTGATCTTTCTCTCTGTCCGTTTCGTGAAGGACTTGATCTCCCATTCGGTATCCAGTGACTGGCTTCCTAGTTTCATTACCTTACATTTACTTGGGTTGAAATTTAGTAGCCATTTGTCAGACCATTCCTTCAGTTTGTCTAGGTCATCTTGTAGCCTCATACTATCCTCCCATGTCCTGATCCTCCTCAGTGTGTGAGAATTATGGTGTTTTGAAAAGATATGGTGCTTGTGAGTGCGTGGTCTTTGTGGTGGTGGTGGGTGTATGCTGCTGATGTGTGTAGTGGTGAATACTTACCTAATAGTACTTGTATCTCGGTGACTATGGGGAAGTGAGGTCCAGCTCTTTGTGCTCTGCCGACTAGGCTTTGTTGTACCTGTTGTATACAGTTTAAGCAGTAATGACATTCAAATTCTTTTTTCTAATCCAGAATTCATGTTGCGGATAGAGGTGGCTTCTACATCTTCTCTTTCTGTATTTCACGTGTTGGCCACCCGTACAAAGGATGAGTATTTTGATCCTTGCATTTGTCTTTTGTGTTTACAGGGTTCCACTTTGTGTGTGCTTGTGTAATTTCATAAATGTAATTACCTTAGTATAGTTACATGAGAACTTGGCCCATGGTTTCCCGTTTTCTCAATACTCTGTCATGTGATGCGTTGAAAGTATTGAAGGTTTTTGCCTCCACTTTCTCACTGAACTTGTTCCAACAGTCTACCACTCTGCAAAATAGAACTTTCTAATACAGTATTTAGCACCTTTGTTTCCTTAGCTTGAATCTGCTACATCTTGTTCTTGAAGTTGCAGGTTGCAAGTATGCTTCTTTGTCAAGTTTGTCGTACATGTTACTATTTTGTTTGGCGTAGCATAGGCTCCTCGTACAATGTCCTTTATGCCACTCTCTATTGACGGTCTACTACCAGAACCACCCCTAGATTTCTTTGTCAGAGTTCTTTAATGCCTTTTCACATATTCTGTAGGTTGTGTGTAGCTTATTTTCTAATATGCCACATTCCCTATGGCATTTATTCACATTGCATTCCATTAGCCAAGTGGTACTCCATATACTTATTTTATCCAGGTCATCTTGAAGGGCATGATAATCAACCAATTCTCTTAGCTTTTCTATATGCTATTGTGACTAATCATCTACACTGGAACTATGTTTGCCTTTTCCATACATCTTTAAATATTCCTGTACATAAAGGTGCTTGAAAAATCATTTCGGGTGTTATGTTCAAATCTGGTGTTCATACCATCAGAACCCAAGGTGACACTCCATCTTGGCCAATTGCATTGTTTCATGCTAGCTCCTTGAGCATTTTTTTTTTAGTTAAGACTATTTTATGTATTCTATATTGTTCTTTGATATCCATATTTCATCTGAATATCCTCCATATTGTTCAGTATTTTAGAAGTCGATTTGCCGGGATTAGTTCTATCGTGTCTGGTTTTCGGTGTGGGAATGTGGCCCTTAACTGTTCCTGGTATGAGAGTCAACTTAGTTCTGGGCTGACTATTCCTAGATTTGATTGGCCATTTTTTTTTTTATTGCAACTCCCACTTGTGCACCTTTCAGTCATTGGTGAATTTTGATTACAAAGTAAATATGGATAAATTTAGTTAAATCTACATTTTTGTTTTTGGTCATATTTCATTATGAAATTTGTATTTCCAGCTTCAGCCCATCATGTACAATATACAAGTGCAACATTAAATCATTGTTATCAGTGTTTCAGCATACAAACATTATATTGTGTGTCCACATAACCACACCTTTGTGGAATATACCATGTATTGACCCCTTAGTGATTAGAATAAACATTAAAGTAAATTCCTTGCAGCCTATCTTTTTAATTTTTGCATAGAGTATTAATTATTGGATACAACTCAGAGCATGGGATATTTCTTTTATTTATTATTATTTCTATACAAGAGGTTACATTGGGAGTTAATTCAACTTATTTTCTATATTCTCTGTTAACTTTCTTGTAAAGCCACTAGCATGCATAGCATTTCAGGCAATAGAATTGAAGATTCTTGAATAGTTAATTTGGCTGCTGCATCTAAGACTTAATGAGGAAAACCTAAAATGACTTGATTTGGTATGGTTAATTTATAATACACTACATACCAGTCCTGTGAGTAATAGTGAAAAAGTTAGTCACATATGGACTCAGAAACTGAATCCCAATGTTCATCTAGGTAAGAAAGGTACAGCTTTGATAATCTAATTACATAGTTAAACATATACTTCAACAATTTGACTTTGTTGCATTTTTTGCTGGCTACTTTTTTATGTTTACTAAAGATGTGGAATTTCCATCGCTTTTGAATTAGAAGGATTAAAGAAATCAAAGACTACAATGACATTGTTATCTACATATAAAAATTCTTTCTCAACACACAAGATTGCATAAAGTACTGACAAAATAATAATCTATGAAGGAGAACAGCACATATATTAGGTTATACAGTAGTTATATTCCCAGACATATATAACAGGATATTTGGGTGTCTAAAAATAGTGAATGATTGCAACATTTGTGAACAAAATTAATACCAAGCAAATACAAAAATTGGGTATGAAAATGTACTCGCTTTTAAATAGGAATTTAGTAAGGCCGGGTATAAAATAGCCACTTGAGAGGCAACTGATCTCCACTTGCTGTGTACCCTGTCCACAGCAACTGAAGATCAACTTGAGCACTCAGATTATGCGAGGTACAATCTGTGTGTTAAAGATCTGTATCCATAACGTGTGTGAATAATTTCCAGTACTATAGCAAACATTCAATGGAACTTTTAAATACAAGGAATGCTGTTTAAATTTCAGATTTTCCAATGTATTGTTTGGAGGGTTTTCCAAACTTCAAATCACAACATTAACAATTAATAATCCAAGATTGTACCATTTAAATTTGCAGCAAGTTGTACAGATTTTTTAATATTTTAATTTTAATAGGGTAGCAAAACATGTTGAAAGAATAATATTTTATTTTCTGTATATACTATACAGAACATGTATGTATTTATATTCTTAAATGTCGTGTGCTTCATATGGACGGAAAAAATACTAATTCAGATTGTTGCTCATACAGTATTTGGTTTGAACGATAGGTTTTTATGTATAAAACTGTAAAACTAAAGATTTAAATCTCAAATCCATACACAATGATTTCATACTATTAAAATACAGGCAGTTTACTTTTATCACTTCAAAGTAATAAATAATATAGAGAAGTGATCAAGAATTCATATTAGATATTAATATTTGCTGTTAAAAATCTTAAACAATTCTGCAAAATGTCATGTTTGGCATTTGAGCTGATCAGTTTACAGAGAGAATTGAAGCATTACTTCGTGCCAACACAACATGAATAACATATACAAGTAACATATAAAAGACATCTAAATATATAAACAAGTTTACATGTCATCAAGCTATTTTAAAAATGAAGCAGTTTATGGCAGACTATATACTGCATTTCTTGAAAAACAGCACTCTTATTTTAGCTTAATAAAACATCATGCCAAAGGTAAAAAATATTACTACAGTATGATAACAGTACAGTATTTCTGTAATTACTGTATTAAGGAAATGCAATATATAATAAATAATTTAAACCAACTTTGAATTTACGTTAAATAGTGAAAAGAATGTAAAAAAAATGTAGTTTTTATTCATTATAATTGAATGCAACAAATTACATAATGTAACATTCTACAAAAGTGTGTGGAATGAATGAGGCTGAGAAATTATGACGTGTAATCAAAATACAGTATAATTTTTTTTATAATTTTTTATTATACAGTACTGTATATTTCCCAATTCTTAAATACACATGATGCAGTTTTGCTGGACGAATTGAGGATAAATCTAATTAGACTTGAGGGCTTGTTAAAGACATGTAAAGAAGAATGATTTATATACTGAAGGGCTCTAGTCAGTCACTAACTTCTTGTTTTTATGCTAGGATGTGGTAAGAAAATAGTGTTTTCTTCCCATATCAATCTGCAACTTACCCCAGCTTGAGACTCTGTAATAATGGTATGTGAGCCCTAATGTTCTCTCCAGTGTTTTTATATTCCAAGGATGCTCTACTGACTAGATTCGTCAACAGAGCAACCTTGAAACATACAGTATATACAAATTAGAGCAACCTTGAAACATGCAAACATTGAAGAGAGCACCAGGGGTATAAGTACCCAAGTCTGAGAATCCCTGCATAATTCGTGCCTGTAATGTGCTAATTAAATTGGAAAAACATCAATACAAATGAATTTGACAATGTTATATGAAGACGACATGTCACAATAATGCGGCTGAAAAAATGATGACCAAACCAGACATCAGAAAATGAAAAAATGGCAACGTTTCGGTATGCCGTCTTAAACGGCTCTGATACACAACATACCCCCAACATGAACCTTAGTCCTGGCTTTGTTGCTGTTGACTCTTCCCTTTCACAGTACATACTTAAATGCTCTAACCTTCTTAACAAATGTAACTTGATTTAGGTCTACCCCTTTTCTTTTTGTTACATTCTTATTCTTACCTCAGATCATTCTTTCTTCATTGCATTCTTACCTTTCACCTTACTCTTACATTCTTTCCTTACCTGTTCCTCATCTCACTCTCTTCCTATATTTATTGGCCTGTTCCTTCCCCTCTCTCACACACGACTTTATGAAGGTCCAGGATTAACTAAAACGTCATCGTTTCTCCATCTTCTGGTGTGTGGTTTGGTCATCAAAACTGTTCTTCCATACCCAGGTTCCAATTTTCTTGCCCTTACAACTGCTACTTAATCTTCGTATAAATCTTTCTCCTTTGCAGTCTTGAACTATATTAAATAATTCCTTTTCTATATCTTAAAATATTGAGGTGCAAACTTTATTCACTTTACAATAAAACAGATCTCAGACTAGAATGTTTTTTTATTTAAAACGTTGCACTTGAAATTAAATTCCACGATTATCATTAATTTTTCATTTACAATAAACATTATATATAAATATATATCTATAGTTATTATAAATATCAAACTGCATTCTTACATTTCACAAACTTAAATTTCTAAATCAATGTCTAGAAAAACTTTGCTGACCCATTGAGAGCAAAATGATGTTGCGGCCTTTCGTCGTCTTCCTCCTCCTCTACCACCTCATCACTGGCATTGCCATCATCTTCACTTCCGCCTCCATCCACCCCTCCATTATCAGTTGTACTTAGGTTCATGCCTGTTGTTCGTGAGATGGCTTGCAAAGCTTGGGCATCTATGTAGTAACTGGGATTTGCCTATAAAAAAGTTATCATTTTGAAGATTTTTATTTTTATAATTTGCATAAATCAAATAGACAAGAAAGGACAAGGGGACTGGAAACAGGAATAAGGCAAAGGCATAAGGAAGGGGGGGGGGTGATTAGGAAAGATGAAGGTTGATGAAAGAGGGGAGCTGAAAATGAAGGGTAAGGAGGAGAAGAGATGAAGTAGACTGGGATATGGTAGATGGTCTATGATGAAGAAAGAGGAGATGGATGCAGAGAGGGAAGGAGGAATATATAAATGGAGGGACATGAGTTTGTAGATGGTGAGGAGAGAAAACAAAAAATGGGAAAAGTGCAAGGAACACCAGAATAGACGGGGGATAGGTACAGAAGGGGAGGATTGGATGGGGTGTAAAAGGAAGAGCAAATAAAGATTAAGGTGGTGAAAAGTAAAAGGAATAGAGATGGAGAGTAAAGTGGGGATGAAGTAGTGAGAATCGTTAGTCTATGGGAAAAATGTGAGTTGATATATATGTATATTTTTTTCCCCCCTAATGTCAGGTTTTTAAGGTATGCAACTCCATCAATTAATGGGGAAAGCTGCAATTACATACCAGAACAATGTATGATTTAACTTCAGATGTCAGTTTGCTGTAGCAAAGTAAAACTGGCAGAAAAAATTCACACCTAACCTGATTTTTATCCAAAAGCGGATAGTACAGTTAGCACTAAATAATACACTCAATCCCAGACATTAGAGAGTTCAACACTGATGAGGACACATGGATAGAATGATATTGAGGATATGTATCAAATCAGTGGAATGATAAGTACTAAATATTACTTATACAGAAACCATGCTCATTATTTCTGTAGTGTGGAGAACTGCATTGCAAGTACTGTTCATGCATAAACTAGATGCCCTGTATACAAAAATATTAGGTAATTTCAGTAAGCAAATATGAGGAAATTCATGAACTAGTGATGCAGTATACTAGTTACACTAATTACTGCATGTTAATCTCTAAACTATACAAAACTATTCATTAGTACATTATCTTACCTTAGGTAGCTTGGTTTTCATTTCTTGCAAAGCACCCAAAGCTGACTTGAAGTTGCTGTGAGCAGCATAATATTCAATTATAGCTGCATAAATATCCCCCTGTCTTACTGCAACTTCAATATTTGGCTCAGCCAATAATTCCTGAAGTTCGCTGATGGTCGAATCTCCATCTGTTGCAAACATTCTGAAAGACAGGAGATTAAATGATATACAGTTTATGAAACAAAAGTGTTAACTGCACTGCATTCAGAGACCACTTTCCATAAAAAAAAACTGTTATGTTTACCTATATGAGCAGACCACTTTAGATAAAGTAATTATCAAAAGAAGGCACTAAGCTGGGAGGACTATGTAGCTCCTATCCATGTAAGTTTACTCATTAAATTAAATTAAATTCTTTATTCAGGAAAAGTACATACATAGTTGAATTACAAACATAATGTTGGATTTTGAGATAGAGCTAGTACCTAAAACCACTAATACGCATAACATTTCGGGCAAGGGTTTCGGGACATACACCTTATTTCAATCTCATTGCAAGAGTTTTCTAGTTTTCCTGCCAGGTTAATCTGAAGTGCTACAGAGAGCACCAAGATATCTTGCACTGATTTGGTGTAAATTTAAACCAACACCAAAGTTAATTAAAAAAAAATATATTAGTCTCCACTATGATCGCTAACAATAATTTTAGTGTTCAGTATTGCTAAAGGATTTGGAAAGAACACAAATACTTTCCCTTATTTTTTGCTTAATAATAATAAAATTATTATAGCATAAATTGCAAACACTCACTACTGACAGCTCAGATAGATTCCCATGACATCACCCTCTTGAGCTTATTATATTTTAAAGTAAAAACTTGAAGCACCTTTATTGATCGTGCATCTAAAAACTAACAAAAGTACACTATGCATAGTGAGAGAGTAAGCGGGTTCATTATTTAAATTATATTTTGTTGCTAGATTGAGATTTGTGCATAAGCCACCTTACATACAATTACTTAATCTTTTTACTTTACAGAATAAACATTGTATATCTTTATTTATAATGAAATAAGAGAGGATGTGTTTGCTTAATACAATATGTATTAAGCACTTGCACTGTATCTTGTGCTACCCACTCCCCAATATATGTTCCTAAGTCATACAACTTCACCATTGTAATCACTGCTATCATCTTATATCATGATTGTATGAAAATTGGCATTTAACACAACAATGTATCTAGAATTAATCCTCAAATTATGCTACAATGTACCTGTTGACAATTCTCGAATTTTACAGTAATGTACCTATTAATTCTCTTCACATTTTCTTAGTATGTATCTGTTGTTATTCTTCAAATTTTTCTACAAATTACCTACATAAAGTTATCTGTTAGACTAAGGACCTGCTCGAAACGCTATGCGTGTTAGTGGCTTTGCAAGGATGTAAACACATTAATTCTATGTACTCTCATAAACACATTGTACCTTCTTGTATATATATAAATAAATGTTAGGAGGCTAGATTACTGTAACAGTGTGTGGGAGACAGTGGGAGCTTGATATACAGTACTGTAATGTTAAAGCAACATTATCAATGCTACTCTAGTGTTACTCCAAATTATTGTGGTAGAATTGATGCTACTGTACCTCTTAATCCCAAGAAACTGCTTAACCTTTTCCAATTTGTATTGAATTGCTGGTAATTTCTCCTGGGCCTGGGGATCACTGATGGATGTCAGAACTTTGTAGGCTTCACTTAAGGCTACAGTAGCTTTCTCATAGTTTTGGAACTCATCAATTTCAACCTTCAAAAAAAAAAAAGATTGAAATCATTCTTGTAATGACACATTAAAAGAAGACTAGTTTTCCATGATTAATTGAAATACAAAAAAAATGTTCTGGGTAAACATGCAATCCCCTTTTCTGAGCATGAGCCATTAGTTTGCTCCTTAACATAAGATCCTCCATGTCCTCTGGACAAGGCTCATGATAGTCTGACGGAGTGATAATCTTGGCATCCGTGCTCCTTTACAATCAAAAGTGATGTTCAAACGAACCCTCTATCCAACTACCCTCCAACTCTCCAGCCACCTAATTCAAAAGAATGCTGAACTTCAGTAAGATACACACAGGAGGGTAGCCTGCAGAGAGCACACAACAGAGGGGGACTAATAAAACTGATATTTCTATTCTTCCCTAATCCTCTACCCAGTAGTGCCGCCACCTAATGGTGGCACTACTGAGATGTGTTTTCAACCTGAGATGTTTTCTCAGGTTGCTATAATTTGCAAACAGGTTACTATGCATATTTATCTGCAATACTCTACTGTATTAGTTACTAAGCATTATGACTATGTAATTTAACTATTTTTGAATCTTCAAATGCAACATGAGTGCATTGCTTGAAGCTGTGCGAGTATAGAGGAATGTACTGTTTGATGGTCATTCAGGGCTGGACAGACTACTGTAGATGGTGTGGCAAGACACACTTAAGAGAACTCTGCTACATTATAGTTGACAAAGCTCAATGGCCAAACCTGATTTTACACACTGCAGCTATGGGCAACAGGAGCTTGGTTAAGGAAGCATCCAAGAGACCAACTTAGAAAGATACCATTCTCTCTTTCTCCGAGCCTACAGATGATAGGTACTTGTATTTTCTAATAAGTACCTATCTGTAGGCTCTCTGGAGCTAAAAAAAATATTTTTCATATGACCCTTAACAATGAAATATATTTTCATATGCATTACATTAAATTAAAGCATTATCTTGTGAAAATGCAAGGACTTATTGTACCATAATTCATCCAAGGTCAACATTCTATTTTTATTATAACAAAATTTACCTGTACTGTATTAGCTTACTGACCTGAGCACAGGAGTCATAGAAACCAGCCAACAAAACCATGGCCTTTGCTCTGGTATAAAATTGAATTATGTTGCCCATTATTTCTGGCTCCTTACGCCAGTCTAAACTCTGGAGGTAATTTGCTGCCATTATGTATATTTCTCGTTGACGGCAAACATTTGCAAAGTAAACAATTCTTTCTGTATCACCAGATTTCAGCAAACATTTCATTGCCTTGACCTGTAAATAAACAAAAATATTTTAATTTATGGTAAGGCTTTAGAGACAAACGTGTGACTAATCTATACATCATGAATACAGTATAAAATATACAAAGATGATGTCCTATGAGAAAAATTTTAAAAATTTGTAGGAGACAAGAAAAGTGTTTCTTAGCATGTCTCTACCAATGTCCCCAGAGCCTATATGACCAACCCAGGATTTGTGACACCCACAAGGCTCAAATTAACACTTTCGCGCTTTCCGCGAAGGTCACTCAGCCAACCGAATGTGCGCGCGGCGTTTTTATCGCTTAAGCGTAAAAACAAAAATGTGTATACTCTTTTTACTCTTCTGACCTTAGTTCTCATGCTACGTATTTCATTTTGGTACCAACGTGTTCGCAATAAAATTCTCTAGAAGAACATCAGTAAAAAAAAGTCACGAAACGTATAGGGATACCAGCACCAAATAAATAACTACGAAGATGACTCGCCGTGAGCGCCCATCAGCAACAAAATGTTTTTACTCTTGGGATTGTAATCACCTCCACACTTATTCTACAGCGTTAATTTTGGTATCAATGGACTCGCAATGAAATTCCCAACACGGTGATATGAATATAAGCGTAGAATAATGATGCGGCCCGCCCGCAAGAGTGTGGGAAGTGGTGAAATTGTTACCCGGTATCGGTGACGGGACGACGCACGGCGCTTTGAAAGTTTATACTTATTTCACTCTCATGACATTAATTTTCTATGTACGTCATTCATTTTTGTGTCAATGTGTTCGCAATAGAATGTTCTATGTGCCCATAGGTAAAAAATATCAACAAAGCGTAAGTTAGAATAGCGCCAAATATAAAACAACGCTGGAACATATCAGTGAGCGTCAAACACACACGAAATGTTTTTACTTTTGTTATGTTTGTCAAGTTTATACTTGTTGCACACAGTTATTTTTGGTTGTATATTGATCGGAATAAAATTCCCTAAACAGACATATGCATATAATACATGATATGGGGGAAGCATTACCAGTATAAACGGCTAAAGTCACCCACCTGCAACCCGTTTGGGACAAAATACCATTTGATCGAAGTTATCCACACCTTTCATGAAATTATTGTACCATGCAGCCTAGTGGTGAGAAAGAGAGCCTCATAGCGCGCAGTTTGAAACAAACCCAAAGTAAATCGGATAAAAATTGAATTTTATACAAATATTTTAAAAGAGGACTCAACTTTATGTCCACTATGCGTTAGCGTTAGACGAAACGGGACGCGCCGGCGCGTCCAGATAGCGCGAAAGTGTTAATCTTGTCTCCCACTATAACACAAAACTTTCAAATGATCTAGTTATGTAATTAATGGAAGGAAGGTAATAGTGGGTAATTCAAAACACCAAACAACCAACCCATAACCACCACCAAAAGTGATCAATACCCTTAACACTCACTGTAACCAACAATTAGAAATGCAAGAAAAACTAAGTACGTATCACCCTGCCAATGACCAGTTTGTTATCAAAGGTTACTTCAGTCACCATCAGGGAAAGCACCGCTCACAACACAAGTCTTGGAGTAGCCAGTAAAACTCACTGTGCCTCGTGTCCATCGATTGCTTATCTAGGCTATGCAGTGGCCATTTATTTCTGATTGGATTTATCATAGTTGAGGTAGAGGATTTATCCCAATATACTTTAGCACAGGGGATTCCATGGTTTAGGATTAGTTTCACCGAGTGGTGTACAAATTGATTGTGTGCCACTATCTTCATCCACCACGACAGTACTTCAGAACTACCTACTTTTGCCCATTTGTTTCCGCCTCCACCGGGGATCAAACCCGGAACCTCAGGACTACGAATTTGAAGCGCTGTCCACCCAGTTGTCAGGCGCCCTGACAGCTGGTTTGAGTCACAGTATGAGTCCTATGAGTCACAATAACATGGCTGAAGATATGATGACCAAACCACACATCAGAAACGATGACATTTCCATCCGTCTTGAACAAATTCTAGATGGACTGAAATGTCGTCATTTCTCCATTTTCTGATGTGTGGTTTGGTCATCATAGCTGACTGAATTTATACAACCATATGTTAATAGATAGATACTATCAATTATTTAAATTCAAGAGGAAAAGATATCAATTATTATATGGCTTAAAATAACAGTAAAGTCACTTGAGATCTTGAAGGGCAAGGCTTACCGAGTAGCAACTTAACCACAGTAAGCTTTATTATACAAAAAATCATTATCTGATGAAAACCCTGGCCATATTATATAAATTACAAACCTTATTTCCAGCTTGAGTAAACTTCTTAGTAGCCAGTTTATAATTCTCCTGGGCATAAGCGCACTCGGCCACCTTTTCTAATATCTGGTTACGACTCGACTCGTCCTTAGGCAGAGTAAACCTTTCTGCCAATTCGTCTGTGATCCAAACATTGTGCTCTACACATAGATCAAGAGCATCAGAATACTGAAAAGATGAGTGCACATTAATTATAAATTAAATGGTGTGGAAAAGCATCAGTCCAGATGACCAAGTTTGGAGAACCCACAAGCCTAGGAACATTTGTACAAACAGCCCAGGAATATTTTGTTTCAGTTCCATAATAACTTTTTTACGTGTCCAGAACCTCTCAACTTTATGCTACACACCAGTGAATAGATGGGTGTAGCTTGTTAACATATTTTAGCATTCTTGTTAGCTTGCTAGCCTTTTTTTTCCTACATTGCTCATTATATTATCTGAACTGATGCTTCCTTGCCCCATAAAAATGAGAAATAGGGTACCGATGATATATATCGGCTCTTGATATATATGGTAATACATTCCAGTAAGAAACCAGTGATGAATTATTATATTTGAGTTTCAACTCGATGATTTAATGATTTACGAGATTTAATGATAATGATTTACGAGATTGATTACTTCTAAATCATCTTGATTTTACTGAAAAGCCATTAGAATTTACAGCAGTCACCATATCATCATTAATCAAGAATATACAAAACATATAGGATATATGCGGTACAACTTAAAATTTTAAATTAAAGAACCTAATTTTGTCTTGTGATATTTACCTGTTTCCCAGTTATTAGTAATGACACAGCACGATCAAACTGCCCATTGGAAATGAAGTACTCTGCACATCTCTGAATAAGTGCAGGGTCTGCACTCTCATCTAGTTCTCCAGCAATTTGCCCAACTGCGCTGATCTGGCCAGATTTAAATGCTAGATCAACTGCCTTTGACAGAAGCCCTGCCTTATGATATAGCATCACTGCTTTGGGAAGTTGACGTCGTTCAGAGGAAGAGAAGTACCTTGCAGCATCAATCTGATCTTGAGGTTTAGCCACAAGTGCCAGATTCATCAACTGATCTGTTAATAATAATGGCACACAAAATAGCATCTTTGACCAAACATTAATGTCTATATAAAGTTTATAGCATTTTAATTCATTTTATGAACAAAGAAAATTCTCCAGCTACCTCATATTTATGCATTAATCCACTATATTGACATTTTCATTTGAACTCAGTTTTTCTTGTAATGAGAAACTATATTTACCTAAAGACAAGTAATATCACCCACACCACTTGAAGATGCTGTTCAGTACTGTATTTAGTCATATTTCTGCATCATCTCTTCCCTCATTTAAGTAATTATTTTATATTATTTAAGACAACTTTACTGCAATTCATAAACCCTAAAAGAAATGTTGAAGCTACATGATAATTACCAGCTATATACACGAAGAGAATGTGAGGAAAAATGAAAAGGACAAAACGCCATCCCAGGCCAATATGCCTAGGAACACAGAGAAAAAATGCGAAGAACTGTTCAGATCCAAACTCACAAACCCAACGGGGTAAAACTCCTGAGCAATATACAATTTATGCCCACACCCTCAGCATCAGCCATGGCAGCCAAAGTGCTACCGATGTTAAGGTAAATTATTATACAGTAATTACTACTTATTGCTCCTATCATCAAAATGTTCACATAATGATACATTTATGTAATCAATGAACTAAAATTCTAATTTTACCTTCAAAACCATTCTCTTTGCATATCCTAATGGCATTTCCATAGGCATGGGCTCGGGTGAAGAAGTGAATAGCCTCTTTTACTTGAGCCACATTTTCATACTGCCGTGCTAAGTGATAACACGCTGCTCTGTAAAGGATCAAAATTAGGCATGTCTTGGAGCAATATTATTGGTCAGCAGAATAATAAAATAAGATATACACAAATTCCTTGATTCAACATTTGTGTGTGTTTTAGATTTGTGTACATTTTAGTCATATTCATGTACAAAATAAAAGTACAAGCAGCTCTGATATATATCATAATACACTCCAATAAGAAACCAGTGATGAATATAATGAAATAGCTCTTTTTGGTGGGGTCCCTCTGAATATCTCTAACCTACTCTCAGCTTAGCTGATGTATTACTAGCATCACCACAAAGCTAGCTGCAGTTTCTTTGAATGAATGTATCTATAAATCTATATCAACCACAAATAAACCAAAGATGGTTACCATAGAGAGGTTTAAGCAAAAGGCAATAAAATCTTAATGCTACCCCTACCTGTCATCTGTTTCATTTGCAATATCTGCAGCCTTTTGAAGGTTGTTGCAGTAGCAATAGACTCTCACTAAAGATAAATGATCCTGAGCAGCTTCATAAAACTGAAGTGCTGTCTCCATTTCACCTGTGGATTCCAGATACTGAGCCCACCATCTCCTCAGTGCTCTGAAAACAAGAATCAAAATTATTATATTGTACCAAATGGTCAAGGACAAATAGTTTAACCTTGTTATTTCTATTTACATTGCTTAATTTCATGTGAATTGTATTCTGGGGAAAACATGGCACTGAATAATGTAACCAATTCCCGTATCTCATTTGAGGCCTAAATCTAAATATGAGTATTGGGTCTTGATTGCAATGAAACTATGTGGCAACATAGTTTCCCCACAGCAAGTCACACAGATACAAAATTCATAATACTACATACATAATACAACATGACAAGACATTTTTGAGTCCATGAGTGTGACTGTTTTAATCCCTATATATGATAAGGGTGCACTTGAAAGTAAGCCTCTGATAGATGAACAGTGCTGATGCACGGTCATAAAAGATGAGAGATCTAGTAGACTGTAAGTCCCGTTACTAAATGATAACTATCCTTAAGTCCTGCCCTTAGCAATTGTTAAGCTGGGATCTCCTAAGGTCAGCAAATATAAAGGCTGCCATACAGTCAGATGCACACATTTATCACTGATAATGGATCAATTGAGCACCCCTTCATTTTCCTCCCTCTATAGGCCTGTGTGACAGCTGAACCAGACTAGGGACCATGACTGGAAAGACAAATCTGGAAACTTACAAACTGTTGACCAGACCACACCAGAAGGTCTGAAGGGACCAGAAGGTGAAGGTACAACGACGTTTCGGTCCGTCCTGGACCATTCTCAAGTAGATTGTGAATCCGAAATCATTCACAATCGACTTGAGACTGGTCCAGGATGGACCAAAATGTCATCGTTCCTTCACCTTCTAGTGTGTGGTCTGATCAACATACTTTAGCCACATTATTGTGACTCATCGCCTGCTTACAGACTGTGAACGATGCCATGTGTATACAGGTAAAGAATGTGCACTACTCGCCAGCCTTATTACCATAAATGATGCGCACACATATACACATGCCTATGAACATTAAAATATGCACAAGTGGCTATGAAGAAAAAAATCAGAGCCAACAAGAGAGGCTTCACTGAGGATGAAGGATAAGAAGAGTCACAGAAGTGACAAGAGAAGAACGGTCACCAGATCACACACACAAGCAGCTAAAAAACCAGGACCAAGAAACTCGACATGCAAAGACCAGAAGAGCACCTCCAACCAACATGATACAGACACTCTGCCAATTCACTAGAAGAGACAGCCTTAAGTAGCTCCAACCACTGAGCCCAAAGACCCAGAAACCATGGCCGAGTTGACCACCAAAGAGTCGCAAGCACCATCTCGCAGACAAATGTTTCCAGCCTGGCAAGAGCAGGGAGGAGTAGCAGAACACTGGAGGGAAAAGAAAAAGAAAAGCCCAGCAACTTCAGTTCATGCAAAAGCATATCAGTTCCCCTGCAGGGGACCAAACACCTTGCATATCCAACTGAAAGATTCATCAACCATGGGTCAATCTGCAAAGGACAGACAGAAACAGAATAGACCGTTTGCCAGCACAATCAACACACTCCACATGTGAACTGTATGAAAAACCAAACCCTAAGAAATCGTAAGTTGGGCTAACCACAGAAATCCACACACATCAAATCCTCTTGGGGTCCCGAGGCTTCCATTGAAGGAAAATCAGGGTTTCATACAACCCATGCACTCTGGCTGTGGTCCAGTAATTCTACCTCCAATGCCAACAGTCCCCGTGGTGTAGTTGGTAAGACACTCGCCTCGCATTTCACGAGCGCTTTAAATAAAAGAGAAATATTGGATGTAGAATTACTAGAATGGGGAAACTACTAGCATAGACCAGGCATGGAAGTTAGGTCCTGGAAATGTCTTATCATATACACTCCAACTCCTGACCTGGAAACACATGATGAGGATAAGGGTATGTTGCCACAGACCCCAACCAGTCCACAACACTGCACAGAAGTGTGTCCTCCCATTATATATGACTGCAGTTTAAGCACCAGCCAAGACACATGCACTACCTAGGAAGAAGCTTCTGAAAAGGAGACTCCTGAAAGGAGGTCCTGAACCTCCTCATGCATGATAAACCTGGATGAAGGCAGGGGGCTACATAACCAGTAATCACAGAAGAGAACTCTGATACTATGCATCCATATCAAACACTAAATCAAGAAACACAAGAGGAAGGCACCAAACACATGTAAAGTGTAAGGTCAAGGAAAACAAGTAAAGGTCCCTATTTCAGATGAAGTCCAAAGGATGGCCACCACTTATTTATACATGCAGAACTGAGGTCCAGTAGAGCTGCACTGCTTGTTGTCAACAATGCCCCCAGGTGCGAGAATGAGTGAGGTGGCATCAAGAATCCACTGATGGCTGGTAATGCTGCCTGGTGGTGTGTACACTTGATGGATTAATAGTTTAACCCAGGTAATGATTCTTTACATGACTACAGAGTGTGTTGCCAAGGTTCACCATTGTAGTTGTGTTTTTGCTGGCATTTTTCTCTTGGGTACTGTCTTATCTTGGGATTTAAGATACTTGGGTATCCTAGATCCCCAGACTCCTCTGCCTCTATTAAGAGGGCCAGATTCTATCCAGGAGCCTGGTGTGGCTTTGAAATATGTTAGGTAATCGGGTGGAAAGCTTGAAAAGCTACCAAAGGGGTGCCTGCCCAGATAAAATTAATTGTACCTCCTGTGTATTGTCATTGCCCATGTTGTGTGATATGTCAACCTGTGTTGACTGTGTATAGTCCTGTTCATAGAAAAAGCAGGATAATACCTGAAAGAGCAACTGTATAGTACACCTACAAAATTTACATTTTTTATTTTCTTTTATATTATTTAGAACATTTGCAAGAAAGTAACAATGGTTCATATAATAGTCGGAATGGAAATGATATTCTTGCAAAGCAACTAAAACTACTGCACAGTATTAAATTGGTTCCGATATCTGGGAAATCTCATAAAAATTCAGAAAATGAATCAACAAATCAATATTGAACTAATTTTATTCTTTTTGATCAGGTCAATATGAATACACGTACTGCTGGTCCAGTGCCATACTCAAAACATGGAACATTCACATATTCAAATATCACTTTGGCCAAACTATTCCAGCTTTTTTTTAGCGTTCCATTGGTAATATATATATTATAGAAAAAAATATATAATTAAAACCTTATTTATCTGAAAATATCCAAATTCTGCACACTTACTTATCATTAGTATGCATTATATAGTCTTCAAGTGTTGGCAAATCATCAAAAAGCATCCGAGGCACTTCAAATCTGTGAGTGTCTGACTTTTCATAATGGCTTATGGCTCCACTGAAGTCACCTGAAACAAAATTTGTAGAGTAAATAATTCACCCATTCTCACTCGCTTTATCTCTCACTCAAGGTAACAACACGAGTACTCCAAATATCGGTACTCAGAGTTCCTCGGAGTATTATAAACAAAAAAATACTTTTAAGTGTTATTAAATACTTCATTCTGAGCAGGTTCCTTGGTTGCTCCCCAGTTCAGTCTAAATAATTTATCCAAGATTTGATGCACTCACCAGGTTCTCAGTGATATTTCTCTTCACTTTGTCCAAAAGGGAAGTTTCACTGTGACAATTAACTTTTCAAGTAATCTTGCCACATAATTGAAAAAGTGGAAGTATAGAGTCTACCTCAATCCCTCACTGTACATCCACTTGCTATAATATGAAACATATTACCCGAGAAACCCGTTTAAGTGTTAATTAGAATCGCCAAGATTCATGGGAGTGGAGGCTGAAGAAACTATCACTATGCAAATACTGTACTGTTTATTAGTAACTAGCCTCCAAACACTAAAACACATTATCACCAAGATAATGACTGCATTTTTTCACCAATTTATCGAAGTGGATCTTTTGCTCAGTGCTGTGGTGATTTCTGATTCACAAGCTCCTCCTTGCCTCTTTGAATGAGCCAGATTCTGGCCCTGGACCCTAATATACACTGAAGGGTAATAATAATAGCGTGAACAAATGCGCAAAGGCCGTGACGAGGGTTCAAACTTACGTCCAGGATGATCCCAGACGCTCCTTAGTTGCTTGCGCCACGACATGGTAAATAATTCCTTGTGGATTTGTTCATTTGATGTATCACACTATTGTGATTTCTGTGTCAATAGTAGCATGTTTCTCATGGGTTGGTTATTTCCAGGTTTAAACATAAGGAGGTTGCCAAGAGGGGCAATCACAGATAATAGGTCATACCTTTACTCTCCAAGTGCTTTGCATAATTGTAATGTGTAGAACGTAAATGAATTCTGTCGTTGCTCTCTGCAGTCTCCAGGGCCTTTGACCAGATGCCACCATCCTGGTACAAGCGATTGACCAAATCATACCGCCCACAGCCACGATATAAACGCTCAGCTTCTTCCTACCAACAGATACAAAAAGAGCATACATGAGAAGCTTTGAAATAAGATACAGAAAATATCTGTACACATTCAAAACATGGCCAAGTAACCAAAATCTGGTTAATTATTTACAATTCAAGCACTAAAATGAAATGCCATCACTGGTAATATTGGGAAATGAAGCATGTAAGATTACCTGGAACTGGAACAATGAGGACTTCAGTAATGATTGACTCAACAGAAACAATAAGGGGGTAAGAGAATAAAAGAAAACAAAATTGAGTTCAATATAGGAAGAAGCCCAACCCTCAAATATACCAGCAATACAAACAAGCAAGAAACAACTGCATGGCAGTGAAAAAAGAAATGCAAAAATAAAAATAAATAATATTTTAAGATAAAAATAAAAATAATAAGAATGGAAAACCAGTTGAACATTCATAACATTCCTTAATCTGAGAAGCCACATGATGATGTTAATGCTGATGTTAATGCCTTTACATGGAGCAATGTAACTATGAGAGGGAGCAAAGTCAACAAAGTACACATTAATACAATGTTTCCTTCTTCCTAAATTCTGCCAGTGAATTTCTTCGTTTTGGTTTCCTCAGATCATATATAAATTGACACATTTATGTTTAATAATATGCAACATTAGAGTCAAACATATATACAGTACCAGTATGTCAAATAATAAAGACACAATTAGATGATAAAAGTGTTGAAAGGGTCTTCTTACCATCATACCAAGCTGGAGAGCAAGCATAGCCACTCTGGCATCCAACTGTGGCTCCTTCATGGCTTGTCGAAGAGCTCTTGCTCCCCTCGCATGACCCATGTTGCCCAAGCACAGAGCTGCTACATCCAAGCGTTTGGTTTTTACACACATCTTGGCCATATTTTCCCACACTGTTTCACTGCCACACAAAAAAGGAGAAGAATCTAAAAATATAAAATGTAACGAAATGCGTTTTTCTTGTGGGCCTCTTATTGCAACCCGTTCTCGCAAATTTAATAAGTCAATATTGACTTATTAAATATGTGCATAGGTGACATACTTAACATAATAGATACCCTTAAAAATATTCATAGAAAACACCGACCTTACCTAACCTTGTTAGTATCTTAAGATAAGCATCTTATAGCTTCGTAATTACAATTATTACCTAACCTATAATAGGTATAGGTTAAGTAATAATTGTAATTACGAAGCAATAAGATGCTTATCTTAAGATACTAACAAGGTTAGGTAAGGTCGGTGTTTTCTATGAATCTTTTTAAGGGTATCTATTATGTTTAGTATATCACCTATGCACGTAGTTAATAAGTCAATATTGACTTTACGAATTTGCGAGAACGGGTTGCTTATTAGCTCCCAATACTGCAACATGGAAGCATCCAAGCCATGGAAACCAGGTACAGTATAAGCTATTGCCACTCAGCACCATTAGGCCATCCAATTCGGGAAGCAATTAATGTCCAAGTCACTGCTGAAGGGTTTAAACCTGGTAGCTAACAAAGCAAATGTTAACCATCAGAAAATATTTACCATCACACCAGTTATATCAACTTAAACATACTTAATCATTCTACTTCCACTAAAACCATTATGTATGATTAGAATTAGAATTTCTGTTCCAATTTACTGTGTGGTCTTATACCATGGGGATCAATAATATTATATCAATAACATGGGATAGAAACAAGTCTCAGAAATTATCAGAAGCTAAATCACTTTCTCAGCAGTAAATATGAAAGCTTAAGAACTCTCATTTCATCTAGGGTCTCCATGACTATTATCCAGGTAACTAAGCATTTCAGCCCAACCACTTGGGCTGGATGGTAGAGTGACGGTCTCGTTTCATGCAGGTCGGCGTTCAATCTTCGACTGTCCAAGTGGTTAGGCACCATTCCTTCCCTCCTGTCCCATCCCAGATCCTTATCCTGACCCCTTCCAAGTGCTATATAGTATTAATGGCATGGTGTTTTCTGAGAGTTCCCTTCCCTTCACCATGAAGAGTTTCTACAGAGCTACCTTCTAATGTACACTATGATAAAAAGGCAAAAGTATATTGTACTTTACCTTTTAATAGCCTTTATAGCTTTGAAGGCATCATCCAAATTTCCAATAGAGAGATAGAATGAGAAGTTGAGCATGGCATCTTTCGTCGACTTATCGCAGTTCTCCAAACCGACAAAATCCCGCATCACTTTTTGTTGTACAGCCTTAGCATCTGACTATTGGGGAGAAGCAAAGACTATTTGTTAATGTAATGTAGTTACAGTATTTATGCTCGATACCTCATGTCATCTACTACTTCTGTAGTCTTTTTTTTTTTTCCCAGTGTTCTATATTCCCTTTAGCTCACAGAACCAATATATCAGGGCCCAACCAATGTATCATTGGTTGACCAACCAGAGAATATCTCAACAAACCACCTCATCACTCAAGATGATAATCTCTCAGGATAGGAATACAGAGAGATATTATCCAATTTCCTTCTCGAGGCCTCTAGTATCCTTGTCGAGGCCTCTAGTATTGGTGTCCCTCAGGTAAATTCAGGTAAATTCCCATTTTCTTGTGACGGAGATGCCTCAGCAGATCTTTAACATTTACTCGCATTCCATTTGTAAGTACATTTTAATACAGTATCTTACTTTGCTAGCTTTAGAATTATTCCCCTCATATATTTGTGCTGTACATTATAAGAGATTTAGATTTAGAGTTTTTATTCAGGTAAAGGTACATACATACATTGAAGATGAGTTACAAATATAATGTTGGAATTTAAAGATAGAGCTAGTATATACAATACCTAAAGTCACTAGTATGCATAGTGTTTCGGGCAAGGTGAAGGGGGAGGGGGGACACTTGGGCTAAAACTTAATAGTAAGTGAGCTTGAAGTATAAATTGTGTTGAAAAAATAAAAAATAAAAAAGGGGGGAACATGGCAGAAAATAGCAATTATACAAGTTGGTCAACAAACAGCATTGTTTAAAATAGTAAGACATGGGTTGACATTTAGGGGTAAGGTAGGTTACATGAAGTTTATTAGGTAGTATTTAGTTTTTATGTTAAACTGGTTGAGAGAGGTACAGTCTTTAAACATGATTGGGAAGGTCATTCCACATTCTGGGTCCCTTGATTTGTAGAGCATTTCTAGTTTGATTAAGTCATACTCTTGGAATATCAAATAGGTATTTGTTTCTGGTGTGGTGCCCATGGGTTCTGTTACAACCATGGGGTTCTGTTGTAAGAGAATTACATACTACAGAATTCCTCTAATATGTTCTGGTTTGTCCAGCATTTCTGTGTTCAACACAAATTTTACAGTTTTAAACATGTGTTGATCATTTTTTATCTATCACAAACCTTTTTCTCAGCATCCTGAGCATTGAGAAGGTAGAAATAGGGGACTTGTACTCCAAGCAGGCGGGAATATGTTGGAGTCATTGGAAACACATCTTGGACAATGGTGCCATGGTCAGGACTCACGAACAGGGATGCCAACATAACAGCTGGCTGCAATATATACTTATATAATGACAGTACTTATACAACAATTACTGAAAGCAAGGGTAAAAAGATGCAAAAATAGTCTAATTGATATAATAAATTTTCACGAGTGATTTATGGAATGCATCAATATTCTCAAAAAAAGTAACATCGATTGTGTTTATAACAAATTGTGGAAAACAAATATGAAGGAGCACATCTGCAATACAATAGTTGAACATTTGCAAATGTCACACAAGAATTCAGATAATTTATATTTACAGTAAATTTTACAGAAAATTAAGTCATTGGAAATGTTATTAGTAATAATAGCCATTAAGTCGTCTATAGTATACTCAACATCCTTCTGAGTCTTTAAGGGGATTAAATGAATACAACACGCACTTTACTTTGAGTGACTCACAAAAATAAAATCTGACATTAAGTTGTAAACAGGCAAGGATGGAAACATCTACCAGACTTTTTTTACGATTTTGATAAGCAATAGTCTACATTGTCAACAAAGTTCAAACTATATTTAATTAAAAAAAAAGGGGAGAAAATTTCGACAGCTCCTAGCAAGCAGCTAACATATACTAAATAAAATAATCCTTGCAAAAATATTTGCAACTCGGTACATGGTCTTGAATACAATAAAGAAAATTCATAACAGATTTAACATTATTACTGAACAAATACAGCAGTGTAAAAAATAAGGCATTGAGCTCCTTCCTGAGCAGGCCACTCAACCTCTTCCTTAAAAACATCCAGCTCAACCCTAGACACTGTCAATTTTACATCTCTGGCTCAACTAGGCTCTTCTCTAAACTATCCAACTTGTCTTCCTGAACTATCCAACTTGTCTTCCTATGTTGCATAGTCTCTCAAAACCTGGTATAGTCTGTGTCTTACATCTGCCCAACACAATAGATTAGGTCATGGTGCGTGAGCCGGGTGTGATTCTTCAGTACTCGGGCTGCATGCGCCTAGGGTTCCCTTCCCTAGGTGCCCTGTAAGTACTGCCCTTGGGGCTTGGGGCCACCTTCCACAAGTTCCTTGGGTCCTGCCCCTGCTTGGCCGTTTACCGCTTGGTTTTCGGCCGCTCTTTGTGTGCTCGGGTGTTCTGTCTCCCTTGTTCGCCTTAGAGTAAGGGGCAGTGTTTGCACTGGTGGGGCGCGGGGTACTGTGCAGCTTGTCTTTACCAATCATAGCGGCCGGCTCTGTTCCGCTTGGGTACGCTGTCCTCTTGCGGGGTTTTCTTTTTCTTTTGTTTATATACCTGGTGGGGGGGTCTGCCTTCGTTCTTGCCCCTTGTGTCCCTTGTGTTCTGAGTATTTCTGGTGGTACCCCCTGCTAGGTCCCCGTGAGTGTACACGTCCCGGGGGTTCAGCTCTTAGAAAGTTGTTTGGTAGCTTGGGTGCCGGTTAGCAGTACCCTGCCTGGGATTACCTGAGCGCGAGTCCTCTTAAAGTAAACGCTCGGGACCCTGGGAAACCCCTGGGGGCGCGCGGGTCCGATGGATGTGACCCCAGAGCCCCCCCCTCGCTTCCAGCGAGTTTGAGGGTTGCTCTCACCTTTTGTCTCTGGGTGACTCTCTGTTTTGCCTCCGTCTGCTGCCTGTGGGGTCGGTGACACCTTCGACCCGGTGTCCTGCGAGTTTGGTTGCTCGTTGTGGCTCGGTTACCCAGTTGTGCTAACAAAGCGGGTGCGGGCAGCAGGGGCGTTGCACTTGAGCCTTGGTGGTGGCAACGTTCTCGTGGTTTCCTCCCCGGGAGCCCCAGGGCTGCCCCGTTGTATTTCGTTTTTCCCCTGGTTCACCCTTCCTGCCTGCATCCGGTTCCTTACCGTCTGTAGGTTCAGGGCGGGGTGTTTGGTGGTGTTGAGACTCGGGCAGTCTCGGGGAATTCCCCTTCCGGGGTAGTGACGGGGGCATTTGGGCCTGTTCCTCCAGCCGTGTTGTATGAGTCTGCCAGTGGGCTCCCTTCCTTAGTGTTTTCACGGCTGCCCCGGTTTTCTGGTACGGCCGGGGCTTTGGGGGAACGGCTCGGCCCCGGGGCCTGTCGTGTAGGTTCCCGGGGCTGGGGAGGGGCTGACTTGGGGGGGCCTTGGCCCCGTTAGACCCCGTGGGGGATTTTATCCCCCTCTAGGCGGGGCTTGTGGTTACGCGGAGTGGGGTCTTTCCTCCCCACTCGCCGTACGTGCTGTTGGACGTCGGCCCCTCCCCGGGCTCGGTTCCTTGGCCTTTGAGTCGGTTGGTTCCGTCCTGTGGGTGGATGTTTCCTCCCCCGCTTTTTGGGACGGTGTTTTTGTCATGTTTCCCCGTTCGATGGGGTTCTGCGTGACTTTTGATCTCGGGTGCGCCTGCGCCTTCGTGTGCCTTCGGGACTAGTGTTGGCTTCTGTGTTCTCGAGGGTACGGGAAGGTTTTTCGCTACTTCCCGCATTATTGGAACGTCTGTCGGCTCCTAGTACTTGTCGCCCTGTTGGGCTACTTGTCGCCCTGTTGGGCTACTTGTCGCCCTGTTGGGCTACTTGTCGCCCTGTTGGGCTACTTGTCGCCCTGTTGGGCTACTTGTCGCCCGGTTGGGCTACTTGTCGCCCGGTTGGGCTACTTGTCGCCCGGTTGGGCTACTTGTCGCCCGGTTGGGCTACTTGTCGGCCGTTTGGGCTACTTGTCGCCCGTTTGGGCTCCTTGTCGCCCGTTTGGGTTCCCTTTTTTTGGGCTCTTTGCTTCTTTGGCCGGTTTTATTGTTCCTGCTTCCTCTTTTGGCTCTTTTTCTCGTGCAATAGTCCTGGCTGGCGCCTTCCCGCAGGGAGGGTGTGCGGTTCGGCCAGCGTGTTATGCGCATGCGCCGTGGAGTTTGTTTTGGTCTGGGCGATGGTTCAGTGCTGGGGTTTTGCGCCCTTTTTTTGCTACAGTGCTTCGCCTCTCGTTCTTCTCCCTGGCTGCGGTATGTGCCCCTTTGCGCCAGGGGTGTCCTGGTTCCCAGTTGTGGGGAGGACACCGCGGTTTTCTGTGTCATGGGTGTGGACCGCCTCCTTCGCCTCTCCCTGTTCTCCTGCGGGTCCGGCTCTGGCGTCTTCACCTGGCGGTGCTCCCAAGTTCTTCTGGGCACGGTTGAGTCGTGTCAAGTTCGAGCCACCATTCGCCAGGTGAGTTTCTGCGGTCTGGCGTCTTTTGGCCGGGCGCTGGATGCGGCGGTGTTCATATACCTGTCTTTATTTAGGTATAATTTTGTACGACTGAGACCGTTCGCACACCAGTGACTGTCCCTTTATCACCCCTTCCTGTCCCCCTCATGTGCATGTCCAACCCATGCTGGAGTTGTTCAGGGGACCCTCCTTTTTTAATGTTGTGAGGTGTGGGGGTTGTAGGGTTGGTTCTGTACTCACCTGGTGAGGCTCCTGGCTGTGCTTGCAGGATTTGAGCTCTGGCTCTTGGGTCCCGCCTATCTGGTAGAACTTGCGGGATAGTACCAGTGGAGTGCAGTGGTGCTATTGGCACTTTTGGGGAACACTGTATTACCATCAGTGGTCTGTGCTTGTTACACGACCTACTTGCGAGCATAAGCCTTCTTGCTGGTTCGTCCGTGGACTTCCAGGGCGCACTGGACTGTTTTCGTATGGCAGTTCCGGCCCATCCTGGTTGTGGGGGTATGTGGGCCGGTGGACTGCTCCTAGCAGCTGCCTGGTGGGCCATCCTCTGGCCGGTCTGGCCTGACCTTGGGCCGGGCTTGAGGTGTAAAAGAGCTCCCAGTACCTCATCCAGCGGGTATCGAGCGGGGTTTCTCCGCCGTCGGTCGCCTGGTGCAGGTTTCTGGGCCTGCAGGGTTTTGTCGTGTCTCCGTTGGCCCTGTCTGGGGTCTGCCTGCTCCGTTCTCTGCCTTTGCAGAGGGGAGTTGCTATTTACATGTTGCATGTTGCAGTGGTGCCTGTTGCTGCTGCTGCTGCACGTGAGCATTGGTACCGTGTTTCACGGTGGCGTGTCCTTGTTCCTGTGTCCGGTTGTGGAGTGGCGTTTTGCTGCCGTTTTGTGCCTGGGGATTGCGTGGGGTTTTTGTCCCTGCCTGATTGTCCACCCCTGGTTGTTCTCCTGGTTTTTTTTTTTTTTTTGTGCTTCTGCTCTTTCTTCCTGCCTCTTCTGCCGCAGGAATGTTCTGCGTGTGTTCTTAGGCGTTGGTCAGCCTGTGTCCTGTGATGTGCTTCTTTGTCTCGGTCTGTTGCAGTTGTTCGTGCCCCTTGGTTCGGGTCCTGTTCTGGCGGCGACCCTTCCGCCTTCTTTGGTTTTCCTAGCTTGCCCTGCCGGTTGTTGTTGTTTTATTTTTTTTTTGGGGGGGTTCTTGCGATGTCTCGCGTCGGACCCGTCGTTTCTGAACTCCTGGCGGGCTTGCATGCTTCGGAGTTTTTCTGTTCGGCAGACGTTCCATCTCCTTGTGCCGCCTGGGTTTCGGTGGTCGCGCCCGAGATCTTCTCGCGGCTCCGCCTTTTTCCTGGGCTCGGGGGGGCCTTGTCGGGGCTGCTTATGTTCTGCCTCGTGGTCTCGCCTCCGGTTGGTGGTCGGGTGGCTTCGTGGTAGGTGTCCCACCTGCGTGCTTTCTTGGCGGCAGTATGGGGTATTTTGGCGGTCCTTCCTTTTCCTGTCCCTTCTTCGGTGGGTCCTTCTTGTTGGCTTGGTTTACTCTCGGCTTAGTTTTCTAGTGGGGGTTGGGGGCCGTCGTCTTGCCACATACTGTCGCCTCTTTTCGTGCGGCGCAGGCGGAGCCGCTTCAGCTTGCTTTCGGTCTTGGTGTTGCTTCTGCACCGTTAGTCAGCTGTCTTGTGCGTCATTTCACCTCCGGCCTGTTCGTGCGCCGCTTGCACCATCCTGGTCTCTGGTCAGCGTGCTCTGTTTTCTCCTCGGTTGGTAGTGCCCCTTCGGTTCCGGTGTGTTTTTTCGTCGGCTCTTTCCTTTGGGCCTTTGCCTCTGGGGGTCGGTTCGCTGTGTGTTCTTGCTCCTTCGGTTTTAGCATTTTGGTTGTTTGATGGCAGCAGTCTCCATCTTTTCTGGCGCGGGGTGGGGCTGCTGCATTCTGGAGGGGTCCAGGGTTTGTTGGTGCTTTGTTGGTCGGGCCGGGGGTGTGTCGTTTTTGGGTTCAGTGGCGGCCCTCTGCTGTTGTTTGCGTGCCACGGCGTTTGGGTCCGGAGCGCGTTTTGCGTTGATCCGGTTCTGTTCTTCCCGGTTCGCGGGTGATGGTGTCCCGGGTGGTCAGCCGTGTTCTTGCGGCTAAGCTGCCTGTGTTCTTCCCTCATGCCTGTGGCGTTCGTGGCTTCGCTGCTCTCGCTGCCGTCTGGGCGACGTGGCCTTGCAGTCTTTCGGGCATGGATTTTTGGTGTTCGTGCAGGGGCCTTGCTGCTCGTGGTTCTCGTGTTGTTCCCGGGATTTTCGGGGCTGTGGCGCCTTGGGTTGGCGTTTGCTGCCGGTTGTCTCGCCTCCTTGGGGGGTGCGTGGTGTCCGCCTCCCGGTTTTGTCCCTTTGACCTTCCTCTGTGGGTAGTTAGCTCCGGGGAGCCGACGGGGCTCCCCCCAGAAAACCAGCGTTGAATGTAATGAAACGCCATTTTCTGGGTGAGACCCGGAGGCTCCCCGGCAACCCTCCCTCCCTCCGGTCGGCGTTTTTCGCGTGTTTTGACATCCAGCCTCAGAACTGATGGGTGGATAGCCGGCGTGGGAGGTCTGGGGCTCCCCCTTCCCCCTCCCGGGGAGGGGGGAGCTGCGCAGACAGCGGCGCGGTGACGTATGACGTCATACTAGTTTCCGTGTTTTCTGTTGAAGAGTTCTATTCACTAGTTCGGCTTAGGTAGCAATTTTCACCAGAATAGGGGTTTGTTTTGGAATGCTTACCTTTCTGGATGCTTGACCCGGTCGATGGCAGACATAGAATGCTTCCAACCACACGGGGGTTCCCCTTGCCTCTTTTTTTGGTCCCCGGTAGGCCCTAGAACTCCATACACATGAACTTGTGTTGTAAATGTGAATTCAAATTCAGTTAATGAAGCAAGAGTATACTAACCTCAGTGGATAAGGCAATAATAGATTTCACTGAAAAATTTCTGCCATATAATTAATGTTCTGCAAAACTTCTAACAACATTCAATGAAATACAAATGATATACATCTTGAATTTACTCACCCTATCATCCTTAGTAGATGTAGTTAGGTAGTGATCTCTCTGTTTTGTGGTGCCAAGAAGAGACTTGGCTTCACACACTAGAAGACGAGGGTCTTCCAGATCCCACATGTGCGACATTACAAAACGACCCCCCACTTCTCGTGCTGTTTCACGTTTAGCTCTATTAATAAAGCAACAAACCGAATCAATGGCAACTTAAATATGTTTAGAGGAATAATTGTTAATGCAAAGCACAAACTGCCCACTAAAAACTACAAGACCTTGGAAAAAAGAAAAATATCAGCTTTGACTTCCAAATAAAGTGTGACAAATGGTTCTTAAATAACTGGTGATAAGAGGTGTGAGGGAATACATAGGCTAGTAGCCTATTTCACGTTCGACAAACTTGCTCTCGTTCTATTCCGGCATATTTTAAGCAGTTGACCATTTGAAGTGAAAAAGAAAAGCGAGATGCTTTACCTTTTAATGCTGTCAATTATATGATCCTGAATGTGAGAAATTAAAAGAATTACCATAAATACATATCAGCTAGACAATGTTCAAATTACCAAATCTGAATGCAAAAAAGATCTGGAACATGATTAGCAGGGATCTTCAGCAAAAAAAATCAATGCATAAATGTAAGGAATAAGGCAAATACCAGGATTCACATCTAGAAGTATTAGTAACAAGACATCTAATGTTATTCTTCAGCTTTATCTTGTCCTTGTTAGGCCCCATTTAGATTATGCAGTTCAGGTTTGGTCGATGTACTATAGAAAAGACTTAAATTCACTTTAATATATCAAGAGAGGGATGACAGAGTTAATCCAAGAAATAAAAATCTCCCTTACTAAGAAAGAGATCAAGAAAGCTTAATTTACTTGCTCTAGAAAGACAGTAGGTGGTGATATGACTGACATATACATATTGATGAAAGGGTATAATAAAGGAGATACTGTATTTCTAAAGTTAAATATATATTGTAATATATATATATATATATATATATATATCATATATGTATATATATGAATAAACATATTTATTTATATATATATATATATATATATATTTCATTTTTTTTTCTTTTTGTGAGATATATATAAGAGCTGTTACATTCTTATACAGCCACTAGTACGCGTAGTGTTTCGGGCAGGTCCCTGGAATACAATCCCTGCCGCGAAGAATTGTTTTTACAACCAAGTACCCATTTTACTGTCGAGTTAAACAGAGGCTACAGTTAAGGATTTGCGCCCAGTAAATCCTCCCCGGCCAGGATACGAACCCATGACAAAGCACTCGTGGAACGCCAGGCGAGTGTCTTACCACTACACCACGGAGACTACCCCAATGTTAAATATATCAACAGAATATTAAACAAAACAGTCTATTCAAATTTAATAAGTTTAGATTTAGAAATGAGCTAGCTAACTATTGGCTTGGAAATAGGGGGTGTTGATTTATGGAACAAATTGCCCAGTAGCATAACAAAAATAGAATAAATGCAACGATATTTAATCTACAGTACTGTACTTGCTTCACACCAAAGATAAAGAGATATATATCTGGCCTTACCCAAACCTCTGATTGTGAACAATTTTCTCAATGCATATATTACATTTTCATTGCAGAAGTGAGGAGAAATGCATCTCATCACAGGAACAGCAGGGCCTTGCCTAAGGAAGCTGCTGCATATTTTGCTCAGAAAAAAGCTTTTCATCTATAATCAAATCTTTATTTCTGAATATATTTCTGGGAGGGGCTCCTCAGAAGCTCCTAGATGCTACAACCCAGATTCTTCCAAGCCTTAGAAGACATGCCAGGTCTCTCATGACCTACAAGTGCACCAAAACCAGCAACTACTGTACTTGGAAACATATATAACCCCGATTCTAACTATGTAAACACTCATTATTGTAGCAAAATTGCTGTCTAATAACTTTCACTTCCTTCAGACTGTCACTTGGTAGTCTTTGAGTTGTGTCATCCAGGAGTCTCAAGGTTGTGACACCCAACTGTCTCCGAGCTGTGTAGCCTGGCTGTCTCAGAGCTGTCACCAATGAACCATGATTATGCCCTGTCCATTTACTCACCTGTCATGCAGCCCACCATCCTTGGAACTACTACTGTCAGCCGAGTTTGGAGGAGCAGTTCCATCTACATCATCATCCTCCGTGCGACCAGAGGCAAAATTAAAATAGGTAACATTATCATTTTCGATATCCCAGATATACAGCTTTGGGTCTGGCAATAGAGACGTCTGGGCAATAGAAATAGAGACTCGAGTACCATTACAGTTACAGCGAGCAGAGATTATCTCCCCGAAGTCCTTTATAGCTTCGCTCATCTGCTTCCCTTGTGTATGTGGCTTGGCTTCTCTGCAGGAATAAAAATTTTGTGTGAAATATTTACACAAAAAAATATGCATATATGTAATATTTGGGGAGTTCAGTACTGTACTCTAAATATTGCACGTTAAAAAATTAAATTGAAATGAAGGCCTCGTAAGAGACATGGCAAGAGAACAATAAAGGTAGATTAGCCACCATATCTGCCTCCATCATAATTAGCAAACTTTATTGTCTTTTGCATTCTTTAATAATCTGACAATAAACATTTAATGATCAATATACTGTAGCTTTTCTAGATTTCATTTCATTTTAGAAGCTAATAAATAAAAAAGAAATATGAATCGATATCAGAGCTTGGAAGGCAAGGCCTGCATAAACATAATTTTTTCCGTGCTCAAGGACAAAATAATTTTAATACTGTATATGTATAGAGAGCTACACCGACAAATCTGTACTATAGACTAACAAGAATGAAACAAGTTGTTAACAATATGACTTGAACAAAATGACCAGACCACAAAATCTTATCTCATTCAGGAGCTGTTGTAAGGCAAAAATAATATTCACATAAATAAGTGTCTGATCAACACTTCAAAGTCTGTATGTATGACCTGCACTCAATGATCAGTAGGGTTGGAAAAATCATTACTAAATAGTCCCCCACTATAAGAAAATAGATAATGGTCAGTGCTCAAACTCTAATAAAATACTATTCCAACATCACAATTTCAGCTGATATGAAAGAAAATTCTGACATGTTAGAAAATAAACATAAATAGCCATATTTTGCTTAACCTCATATTACAAAGAAATAGTTTGCTCAAGCAAAAACACAACATACGTCTATCACATTCCACACAATAGTGCAATACTTATTCAAAACAAATATTAGAAAACCAGTTACACTGAAGTGTAGACTCATAGAATATGTCACAATAATGTAGTCAAAACAAATAACTGAGTGTACACATATTCATGGGAGTACACATGGGAGCCGGTCGGCCGAGCGGACAGCACGCTGGACTTGTGATCCTGTGGTCCTGGGCTCGATCCCAGGCGCTGGCGAGAAACAATGGGCAGAGTTTCTTTCACCCTATTTCCCTGTTACCTAGCAGTAAAATAGGTACCTGGGTGTTAGTCAGCTGTCACGGGCTGCTTCCTTGGGGTGGAGGCTTGGTCGAGGACCGGCCGCGGGGACACTAAAAGCCCCGAAATCATCTCAAGATAACCTCAAGAAGATATTTAGTTAAATTAATGACTCAGTACAGTTTCTTTTCTCAGTACTGAATTTCTTGGCACACAAACAGGATGGAGCATGAGCACAAGGGTGAAACTAAGAGACTAATTTACCTCATAGCTATGTTTCTCATAGTCAGGGACAGAAAGCCAGATAGGCTTACTGAGGGGTTCCCCTGGGACAACTACTGACTTAACCCAGGATGCAACAAGGAACAGTTGCCCAACTCCTGGGTATCTTTTACTGCTTGGTGAACAAAGGCATCAGATGGAAACACAATCCAAACACTTTTGTCCTCCTAAGGAAATCAAACTCCAGACTTTTCTGCTTGGACTCGATTGCACTTACTACAGGAGTACAAGGTTAGATCAATGACAGGGTAGCATATGAGTACAATAGTAAAATAATTACAAGGTATTGCACATGTACAAGAGTGGAACAATTAGGGTGGTGTATGAGTATAAGGATAGAACTACAAGGTGGTGTATAGGTGTGGAACAAGTACAGGGTGGTATGCGAGTACAAGTGTGGAACAACTACAGGGTGGTATACGAGTACAAAGGTGGAACTACAGGGTGTTATGCGAGTACAAGCGTGGAACAACAACAGGGTGGTATATGAGTACAGGTACACAACAAATTTAGTTAACAGCATGTGTTTGAAGCAAGTTTCACATGTCATAAAAACAATGTCAGTGCACAAATCATACCTCAATCTACGACATCATACACACAAGAAAGGAAATCTGCAACTGGTTATCATCAATTCAGAAACTTGGTACTACATTGAGAACCTTATGAAAGGCAAACAAAATTTAGTGAATTCCACCACAATCTTCCATACCTTCTAGACAGATCCCATAACTTGACGGTTCCTTGAAGAGTAGCAGTCACTAAAAAATTTCCACATACATCAAGACCAATCGGCTCACCTTCACTCTCTGTGAAGGTGAGGGTTTGTTTTATTGTGCCCTGGAGGGAGCGCACTTGTATATTGGTGCCTTCAATGGAATAAATACTGCCTTCATGCAAGACTGCACTTTCAGCTTCACAAGGAAATGATGCTGTACAAAGAAAAGAAAATTATTATTAAATAAGTTTTTTTTATTTATTTGTATGCATCTCAACTTATCTATAACCAAAGAATATTTCTAACAGTCAAGTACTGAAACACATAAAAGATATTAATCCAAACCACTTCTTTAAAAGATCGCATGTAAGTAATGAAAGGGGCAAGAGCTTAAAATTCCATAAGCCATAATACAGGACAGAAAATAGATGCTTTATCACTCAGAGTAATAAAACCATGAACTTGCCTATCTGCTGAAGCCATATACTGTATTGTGTACAAAAAAAAAAAAAAGAGTGCTCTGGTTTAAAATTCTATTGGAAAAAATCCTCAGTAATACTGAGAGGACCTTCAACAAGCAGCCAGCATCATGTCCCCACCAAAGCCAATGGAGATGGTAGTAAATTCAGAAAAATATATATACTGCATGACTAGCCTTTAATTTTCTTAGACTTCTCCTTTGTACACAATTCCCTCGACTTAACTAAAGATGCCCTTTAGTCTCCCCACTTCCAATAGGATCACAACCAAGAACATGTTGCTCTCACTATATAAATGTATTTATGCATGTATAGTAGCATGTTGACCAGACTACACACTAGAAGGTGAAGGGACGATGACGTATCGACTTGAGAATGGTCCAGGACGGACCAAAACGTCGTCGTCCCTTCACCTTCTAGTGTGTGGTCTGGTCAACATACTTTAGCCATGTTATTGTGACTCATCGCCTGCATATAGTAGCATGTTTCACGGTAGAAGTCACAGATTAACCTCAATTCGAAGAGCAGCACTAGCAGTGATAGTGCTTTTTATTGGCTATACTCACACTGTTATATTTTGCTCACACTGCCTGCTACAATTTTGAAACAATGCAAACATCTTCTATGTCTCCAATACATAGCAGACACTTGCACTGTCTCCTATGTATTTGCTCCACTGTCTGCTACATTTCCTCACACAATCTGCTATTTCTACCAAGGTTTGCCATGTCTTCATCATCTCCAGCTTGTCTTTTCAATTCAAAGTTTTTGTATTCTATGCCTTTAATTCTCCCTTAATAATATACACCGTTCAGTCTATCTTTCTTCTGTTTTTAAGTTTGTATATGCTTGCTGAGGCCCCACTATCCTTTTCACACATTGGTGCTACTCAGTGGCAACTGGTTCATTTATCTGATAAGAATTTGATACTGTATACAGTTTTGGCTTTGTAAATGTTCCAATTGTGTCTTCAAGTCTTGAACATTTTACTCCACTTGAAACATATGAAGAAAGTTCCATATATAGGCAACCCTCTCAAGTACAGTAAGTTCCAGAAGTAAACAGGCTTCTTGTGATAACCATGCATTACAGGACTGGTTTTAAGCTAACTGGACCAATTGCTCCTAATTGGGCTCCATGCTGAAGGGGGCCCCCATGCTATGGTAGTCTACTCTAGTTTTGTCAAGTAAAGCTGCCGTCTAACAGAACCTGGCCTATAAGGGCTAGTCATAAATCAATATAAATTTGCAAGTTAATGTTTATGTCTGCTGAATTCTTAATGACAGAATACAGATACGAGTCGGACATTAAGAACAGTATACTTTGTTTTTATCAGTTCGCTGATGAATGCCACTTTAAATGTTTTGTTTATTTTTTTCAGAATCCCCTAGTTATGAATAAAAGACTAAGGGACATTGGCAGAAAATACTTAAGAGGCAAAATATTAAAGTTGCAAATTAACAAGAGTTTAAACATAGACAAAATCTTAAAAGATTTTGCAGAGAATGAAGCAAGAAAGAAAAAAATAAAATTATAATAGAAATAACTTTTTAGAACCCCCCCCCCCCTCAAAAGCATTGAATGTAATGAAATGCCATCTTCTGGGTGAGCCCCAGAGGCTCCCTGGAGCTATTCGACTAATATAGCATATATTGTATCAGTCCGATAGCTCCAAAGATCCCGTGAGGATTCGGTCGAATCCCAAGATACATTACTAATACTTATTGCGTATCGTAGTTCATTGGCTTAAGGCAAATGCTTGAGAGTACCCAGGGTACAGGTTCGAATCCTCATTTCTCCAAAGGACTCTCTCATCATCATTATTATTATCGTTATTAGTCTGGATCATCATTATCTGTTAGTTTACATTTGTTAATACCATTTTTTTCTAGGAACTATTCTTTCTTGAGCGAGGTGTGGCTCCACGACACACAGTACACAAATGACATGTGAGGGCTGACTAAAGTCTGTAGATCATCTAGCAATGATGATGAATTTATCTCTGGTAACAACAATTTAATTCTGCAGTCTAACACACAATAGTTACTGAAACAAAAGTCTTGAGAGTGGTCAAATTAAATTCCAAACATGCTGTAAAATTCACCCAACCAGCTACATACACTTTGACATTATATTTATATCTGACCAATTTGAATGACACTAACCTACAACTCTGAGATGAGTAGCATCAGAAGTTATTTCATACACAACCATCTTTTTCTTGTTCCACAACAGAATGTGATCCACAGAGTTATGGACCCCTCGTACTTGAATTTCAGCCTTTAACTCCAAATGGCTGCCCCCGGAAAATATGTCCACTGACAGCTGAGTTGGAGACACCTGCACAACTGACACCTAAGGAGAAATCAGAGGACAATGAATAGACAATGTGTGAGATTCTAAGTATTGAGATTTAAACATTAATCTTTATTAATCTTAATCACCTATTTTCATTTTCATATTACGACATTTTATACCGAAAATATGTCAATTACTGAAAATAGAGATGGACATTTTTTTGAACAAACCCCCCTGCAATTTTCAATATATCTGAAATGTTGGAAATTTGACTCCTGGGCGTGATTTTTGAGCCGAATTCTGACTCTCTGCACCTATTTTCATTTTCAAATTACGACTTTTTATACCGAAAATATGCCAATTACTGAAAACAACGATGGGTCATATTTTGCCCAAACCCCCCTACAGTTTTCAAAATATCTGAAATTTGACTCCTGAACGTGATTTTTGAGCCGAATTCTGACTCTGCACCTATTTTCATTTTCAAATTACGCCTTTTTATACCGAAAATATGCCAATTACTGAAAACGACGATGGGTCATATTTTGCCCAAACCCCCCTACAGTTTTCAAAATATCTGATATGTCGGAAATTTGACTCCTAAGCGTGATTTTTGAGCCGAATTCTGACTCTCTGCACCTATTTTCATTTTCAAATTACGCCTTTTTATACCGAAAGTATGCCAATTACTGAAAACGACGATGGGTCATATTTTGCCCAAACACCCCTACAGTTTTCAAAATATGATATATCGGAAATTTGACTCCTGAGCATGATTTTTGAGCCGAATTCTGACTCTGCACCTATTTTCATTTTCAAATTACAACTTTTTATACCGAAAATATGCCAATTACTGAAAACGACGATGGGTCATATTTTGCCCAAACCCCTTTGCAATTTTCAAGATATCTGAAATGTTGGAAATTTGACTCCTGAGCGTGATTTTTGAGCCAAAGTCTGACTCTCTGCACCTATTTTCAATTTCAAATTACCCCTTTTTATACCGAAAATATGCCAATTACAGAAAACAGCGATGGGTCATATTTTGCCCAAACCCCCTTGCAATTTTCAAAATATCTGAAATGTTGGAAATTTGACTCCTGAGCGTGATTTTTGAGCCGAATTCTGACTCTCTGCACCTATTTTCATTTTCAAATTACGGCTTTTTATACCGAAAATATGCCAATTACTGAAAACGACGATGGGTCATATTTTGCCCAAACCCCCCAACAGTTTTCAAAATATCTGAAATATCGGAAATTTGACTCCTGAGCGTGATTTTTGAGCCGAATTCTGACTCTCTGCATTTATTTTCATTTTCAAATTACGACGTTTCATACCGAAAATATGCCAATTAGTGAAAACAGAGACAGGTCATATTTTGCCAAAACCCCTCTGCAGTTTTCAAAATATCTGAAATGTCGAAAATTTGACTCCTGAGCGTGATTTTTGAACCGAAGTCTGACTCTCTGCACCTATTTTCATTTTCAAATTACATTTTATACCGAAAATATGCCAATTACTGAAAACGGCCCTGGGTCATATTTTACCCAAACCCCCTTGCAGTTTTCAAAATATTCTAAATATCCCAAATCCGACTCCAGAGCCATATTTTGGAGCCAAATTCTGACTCTGCACATATTTGCAGTTTGAAATTACAACTTTTTATACCGAAAATATGACAATTACTGACAACGACGATGGGTCATATTTTGCCCAAAGCCCCCTGCAGTTTTCAAAATATCTGATATGTCGGAAATTTGACTCCTAAGCGTGATTTTTGAGCCGAATTCTGACTCTCTGCACCTATTTTCATTTTCAAATTACGCCTTTTTAAACCAAAAGTATGCCAATTACTGAAAAACACGATGGGTCATATTTTGCCCAAACCCCCCTGCAGTTTTCAAAATATCTGAAATGTCGGAAATTTGACTCCTGAGCATGATTTTTGAGCCGAATTCTGACTCTCTGCACCTATTTTAATTTTCAAATTACGGCTTTTTATACCGAAAATATGCCAATTACTGAAAACGGCGATGGGTCATATTTTGCCCAAACCCCCTTGCAATTTTCAAGATATCTGAAATGTTGGAAATTTGACTCCTGAGCGTGATTTTTGAGCCGAATTCTGACTCTCTGCACCTATTTTCATTTTCAAATTACGCCTTTTTATACCGAAAATATGCCAATTACTGAAAACGACGATGGGTCATATTTTGCCCAAACCCCCCTACAGTTTTCAAAATATCTGAAATGTCGGAAATTTGACTCCTGAGCATGATTTTTGAGCCGAATTCTGACTCTCTGCACCTATTTTCATTTTCAAATTACGCCTTTTATACCGAAAATATGCCAATTACTGAAAACGGCGATGGGTCGTATTTTGCCCAAACCCCCTTGCAATTTTCAAGATATCTGAAATGTTGGAAATTTGACTCCTGAGCGTGATTTTTGAGCCGAATTCTGACTCTCTGCACCTATTTTCATTTTCAAATTACGACTTTTTATACCGAAAATATGCCAATTACTGAAAACGGCGATGGGTCATATTTTGCCCAAACCCCCTTGCAATTTTCAAGATATCTGAAATGTTGGAAATTTGACTCCTGAGCGTGATTTTTGAGCCGAATTCTGACTCTCTGCACCTATTTTCATTTTCAAATTACGACTTTTTATACCGAAAATATGCCAATTACTGAAAACGACGATGGGTCATATTTTGCCCAAACCCCCCTACAGTTTTCAAAATATCTGAAATGTCGGAAATTTGACTCCTGAGCGTGATTTTTGAGCCGAATTCTGACTCTCTGCACCTATTTTCATTTTCAAATTACGACTTTTTATACCGAAAATATGCCAATTACTGAAAACGACGATGGGTCATATTTTGCCCAAACCCCCCTACAGTTTTCAAAATATCTGAAATGTCGGAAATTTGACTCCTGAGCATGATTTTTGAGCCGAATTCTGACTCTCTGCACCTATTTTTATTTTAAAATTACGCCTTTTTATACCGAAAATATGCCAATTACAGAAAACCGCGATGGGTCATATTTTGCCCAAACCCCCTTGCAATTTTCAAGATATCTGAAATGTTGGAAATTTGACTCCTGAGCGTGATTTTTGAGCCGAAGTTTGACTCTCTGCACCTATTTTCAATTTCAAATTACCCCTTTTTATACCGAAAATATGCCAATTACAGAAAACAGCGATGGGTCATATTTTGCCCAAACCCCCTTGCAATTTTCAAGATATCTGAAATGTTGGAAATTTGACTCCTGAGCGTGATTTTTCAGCCGAAGTCGAACTCTCTGCACCTATTTTCATTTTCAAATTACGGCTTTTTATACCGAAAATATGCCAATTACTGAAAACGACGATGGGTCATATTTTGCCCAAACCCCCCTGCAGTTTTCAAAATATCTGAAATGTCGGAAATTTGACTCCTGAGCGTGATTTTTGAGCCGAATTCTGACTCTCTGCACCTATTTTCATTTTCAAATTACGACTTTTTATACCGAAAATATGCCAATTACTGAAAACGACGATGGGTCATATTTTGCCCAAACCCCCCTACAGTTTTCAAAATATCTGAAATGTCGGAAATTTGACTCCTGAGCGTGATTTTTGATCCGAATTCTGACTCTCTGCACCTATTTTCATTTTCAAATTACGACTTTTTATACCGAAAATATGCTAATTACTGAAAATGGCGATGGGTCATATTTTGCCCAAACCCCCCTGCAGTTTTCAAAATATTCTGAAATGTCGAAAATTTGACTCCTGAGCGTGATTTTTGAGCCGAATTCTGACTCTCTGCACCTATTTTCAGTTTCAAATTACGACTTTTTATACCGAAAATATGCCAATTACTGAAAACGGCGATGGGTCATACTTTGCCCAAACCCCCCTGCAGTTTTCAAAATGTCTGAAATGTCGGAAATTTGACTACTGAGCGTGACTTTTGAGCCGAATTCTTACTCTCTGCACCTATTTTCATTTTCAAATTACAACTTTTTAAACCAAAAGTATGCCAATTACTGAAAAACACGATGGGTTTTATTTTGCCCAAACCCCCCTGCAGTTTTCAAAATATCTGAAATGTCGGAAATTTGACTCCTGAGCGTGATTTTTGAGCCGAATTCTGACTCTCTGCACCTATTTTCATTTTCAAATTACGCCTTTTTATACCGAAAATATGCCAATTACTGAAAACGACGATGGGTCATATTTTGCCCAAACCCCCCCTACAGTTTTCAAATTATCTGAAATGTCGGAAATTTGACTCCTGAGCATGATTTTTGAGCCGAATTCTGACTCTCTGCAATTATTTTAATTTTCAAATTACGGCTTTTTATACCGAAAATATGCCAATTACTGAAAACGGCGATGGGTCATATTTTGCCAAAACCCCCTTGCAATTTTCAAGATAACTGAAATGTTGGAAATTTGACTCCTGAGCGTGATTTTTGAGCCGAATTCTTACTCTCTGCACCTATTTTCATTTTCAAATTACGACTTTTTATACCGAAAATATGCTAATTACTGAAAACGGCGATGGGTCATAATTTGCCCAAACCCCCTTGTAATTTTCAAGATATCTGAAATGTTGGAAATTTGACTCCTGAGAGTGATTTTTGAGCCGAATTCTGACTCTCTGCACCTATTTTCATTTTCAAATTACGCCTTTTTATACCGAAAATATGCCAATTACTGAAAACGACGATGGGTCATATTTTGCCCAAACCCCCCTACAGTTTTCAAAATATCTGAAATGTCGGAAATTTGACTCCTGAGCGTGATTTTTGAGCCGAATTCTGACTCTCTGCACCTATTTTCATTTTCAAATTACGCCTTTTTATACCGAAAATATGCCAATTACTGAAAACGGCGATGGGTCATATTTTGCCCAAACCCCCTTGCAATTTTCAAGATATCTGAAATGTTGGAAATTTGACTCCTGAGCGTGATTTTTGAGCCGAATTCTGACTCTCTGCACCTATTTTCATTTTCAAATTACGCCTTTTCATACCGAAAATATGCCAATTACTGAAAAC